GTAATTTTTTATGTCCGTGCCCGCTCTGGATTGACTATCCCTGCCTTGCGGTAGTACCGCAAGGGGCGCGGTAGTACCGCGCCAGCGGTTCTACCGCTCCCTATCTTTACACAGCAGGTCTAGTCTTGGCCCCTGTCGTGCCAGCGGTAGTACCGCGGTCCCCCGCGGTAGTACCGTAGGCCCATGCGGTAGTACCGCTTGTATGGTGCAGTAGTACCACGCGTCGCAGGCTGAGTTGGTGGATAACGGTTGGATTTGTTCTTCCACTATAAAAAGGGGTGTCTTCTTGTTCGAGTTGACCACTCCTCCATCCCCAAGCTCCATTGATGCTCTAAGCTCCATTTTCGTCCGATCTCTCTCCCTAGCCAATCAAACTTGTTGATTCTCTAGGGATTGGTTGAGAAGTCCTCGATCTACACTTCCACCAAGAGAAATTTGATTCCCCCCACTAATCCCTTGTGGATCTTGTTACTTTTGTGTGTTTGAGCACCCTAGATGGTTGAGGTCACCGTTGAGCCATAGTCCATTCTGGTGAAGCTTCGTGGTGTCGTTGGGAGCCTCCAATTAAGTTGTGGAGCTTGTCCCAACCTTGTTTGTAAAGGTTCGGTCGCCGCCTCCAAGGGCACCAATAGTGGAATCACGACATCTCGCATTGTGTGAGGGTGTGAGGATAATATGGTGGCCCTAGTGGCTTCTTGGGGAGCATTGTGCCTCCACACCGCTCCAACGGAGACGTACTTCCCCTCAAAGTGAAGGAACTTCGGTAACACATCCTCGTCTCCATCGGTTCCCCTCTTGGTTATTTCTTACCTTTACTTGTGCAAGCTATATTGTGTTCTATCCTTTGCTTGCTTGTGTGTTTATTGTTGTTGCATCATATAGGTTGCTCACCTAGTTGCATACCTAGACAATCTACTTTGATGCAAAGTTTAATTTGGTAAAGAAAAGCTAAAAATTGTTAGTTGCCTATTCACCCCCCCCTCTAGTCAACTATATCGATCCTTTGAACTGAAATACTTGCTTATACTGCTAATCCTGCTGTGCTTACTACTTAGATTGAGAAACCTCCATTCCCTGTTAGGATTAAGAAACATGCTAAGGCTACAAATGTGGTTCATAAGAGTAATATTAAGACACCTAAACCCGCTAAGAATATTAAAGTAGAATCCTCTGTTGCAATGGTTAAAGATCTCTTGGTTGATAATATTGATGGACATGTTATTTATTTCTGTGATGAAGCTGCTAGAATTGCTAAACCTATTAGAAATAAATGGGATGAGCTAGATAAGAATAAGAAAGTTGTTGGCATGCCTGTTGTTTCTATTAAAGATTGGATATCATTGTTATGATGGTCTATGTGATATGGGTGCTAGTAGAAGTGCTATTTATTTTTGTCTCCATCAAGAAGTCATGCATGATATTTCACCTGCCGAGATAGAAAAGATTGATGTTACTATTAAGCTTGCTCACAGGGATAACATTTCACCTCTTGGGATTGTTAGAGATGTTGAAGTCTTGTGTGGTAAGATCAAATACCCTACTGATTTCTTAGAACTTGTATCACAACAATATAATTTTTGTCCCATCATATTTGGTAGACCATTCTTGAATACTGTTAATGCTGAGATTAATTGTGTTAAGGAAAAAGTTAAGGTTAATTTTGGTGATCTCATGAATTTAATATTTCTATGTTCACTAGAAAACCTCAATTAAGACGATATTATTAGTCTTGCTTCTATTGTCGTGCCTCCTACTGATATTTTAGAGCAATATTTTTGAGAACATGAAGATGATATGCATATGAATGAAAGAAATAAAATAGATGAAATATTATTTATGCATGCACCTATCCAAGCATAATTTGCTTGTTAAAATGCTGGGATATCCTCCACCACCTAAGGGTGATCCGATGTTTGAATTAAAAAAAACTCCCAAATACTTCGATATATGCTTATCTAGATGAGAAGAAGATATATCTTGTTATTATCAATGCTAACCTTTCAACGCATGAAGAAAAAATATTATTGAAAACCTCAAGGAAACACCGCACATAACTTGGATATACTCTGGATGATCTTAAGGGCATTAGCCACACTCTGTGCCCATAGAACATTAATATGGAACCTAATGCTAAATCAGTTGTTGATCATCAATGTTGCTTAAATCCTAACACGAAGGATGTGGTAAGAACGAAAATATTAAAGCTTCTGGAGGCAGTATAATTTATCCTATAGCTGGTAGTACATGGGTAAGTCCAGTTTATTGTGTCCCTAAGATGGGTGGCATTACTGTTGTTCCTAATGATAAAAATGAAGTTATCCCACAAAGAGTTGTCACTGGTTATAGAATGGTAATTGATTTTGGAAACTGGATAAAGCTACGAGGAAAGATCATTATCATTTTCCTTTTGGTGATCAAATGTTAGAATGATTGTCTAAGCATACACGTTTTTGTTTTTTGATGGATATTCTGGGTTTTTTCAAATACATGTGTCACTAGAAGATCAAGAAAAAACTACTTTTACTTGCCCCTTTGAAAATTATTCTTATAGATATATGCCTTTTAGTTTCTATAATTTACCTGATATACTTTTCAAAGATGTGTGGCTGCTATATTCTTTGATTTCTGTGTAAAAAATTGTTGAGGTCATCATGAATGATTTTTCTGTATACTGAACTTCTTTTGATGACTGTTTGAGCAATCTTGATAGAGTTTTGTAGGGATGTGAAGAGATTAATCTTGTTTTGAATCGGGAGAAGTGACATTTTATGGTGAATGAAGGTATAGTCCTCGGTCATAAAATTTCTGAAAGAGGCGTTGAAGTAGACAAAGCTAAAGTTGATGCAATTGAGAAAATGTCATGTCCTAAAGATATAAGAGGTATAAGAAGCATCCTTGGTCATGCTGGTTTCTATAGAAGGTTCATTAATGACTTTTCTAAAATTTCTAGACCTCTTACTTATCTCTTACAAAAAGACGTTTCATTTTTTATGATGATTGCGTAGAAGCCTTTGAAATACTTAAGAAAGCTTTGATGTCTGCTCCTATTGTTCAACCACCTAATTGGAATTTATTCTTTCAAATTATGTGTGATGCTAGTGATTATGCTATAGGTGTTGTTCTTTGTCAAAGAGTTGATAAGAAATCAAGTGTTATCCATTATGCTAGTAAGACCTTGGACACCGCCCTGAAAAATTATGCAACTACTAAAAAAGAATTTCTAGCTGTTGTGTTTGCTTGTGATAAGTTCAGGCCCTATATTATTGATTCTAAAGTTACTATCCACATTGATCATACTGCTATTAAATATCTCATGGATAAGAAAGATGCTAAACCTGGGTTGATTAGGTGGTTTCTTTTATTACAAGAGATTGATTTGCATATTGTTGATAAAAAGGGAGATGATAATCCTGTCCCAGATAATTTGTCTAGGATGGAAAATACTCTTAATGACCCAAGACTTGTTAATGATAATTTTTCTAATGAGCAATTAGTTGTTATAAATGCTTTCTCTTCTCATGATAACCCTTGGTATGCAGATTATGTTAATTTCATTTTTGTTAAATATATATCGTCCAATTACACATACCAACAAAGAAAAAGTTCTTTGATTTAAACATTACTTTTGGGATGGACCACATTTATATAAAGGAGTAGATGGTGTTATTAGACGTTGTGTACCTGAACATGAGCAGGAACAAATCTTGAGGAAGTGCCACTCTGATGCATACGGAGGGCACCATGCTGAAGGCAGAACTGCACACAAGGTATTGCAATCTGATTTTTATTGGCCTACTCTCTTCAAAGATGCACATAAGTTTGTCTTTTCTTGTAATGAATGTCAAAAAGTTGAAAATATTAGTAGACGTCGGGAAGTGACTATGAATTATTCACTTGTTATTGAACCATTTTATGTTAAAGGGGTTCTGATTATAGGGATGCCTATTTTCATGCACATCATTGCTTAGTCCTCCTCAGTTTTGCCCACGCTCATTTGCAGTCATTATTTTCCCCTCTACCGTGCGGCCCACCCTTACAAAAGCCCAAACAGGGGTTTGCCATCAAATTCTTTGACCGTTACCTGGCGCGGTTACTGACGCGTGGGATACCCCTTGTCAGTGGCAACGCGGTCGTAGGTGGGCTCAGTTAATGACGTGTGGGACACCCCTTACGGGCCCATCTGTCAGGGTGAGTGGTGCATGAACTTGGGACAACCGGAGTTTAAATTTCAAACCATTTGCTATGAATGGTCCACATTGCAAGTTTGACCATATTTAAAAAAGCAAAGAAAATAAAAAAAGCCTCAAAATTGAAATGCCTCTGCATTGAGTCATCTTATGTACACTAGTTGGTGGAAAAAAGAATAAACTTGCAATACAACAAGTTTGCAAAAAAAAAAACATTCACAAAATGACCTATTTAGTATGAATTTGCATGGAGTTCAAGGCATATGCATATGGAAATGACCACCACAGTCCATGAGAATATATCCAAAATTGGCACAGCTATGGGCATTACCATTGTGAGCATTTTGTATAAGCAGAGATCCTTTTCTTTTCACATCCCGCGTTACGGCCATGTAAGACGAGCTAGTGTGATTTTCGTGTAGTGTGTAAATTAGGTCGTCTGTGTAAAACTGATCCCAATTGTTGGCGGTTCCCGCAATATCGTCACCAAGGGAAGGTCAAGGGCTGTCAAGCTTTCAGATCACCTTCCTCTTTGAAGGAACTATGCGTGCAAATTCGGTGTGTTGCAAATGGGTGTCAACCAAAGATGAGTACACATATATGAACACACTAGAAGTAGCACCTAATCAATTGCACATACATGTGCTTACTTTACAATCAATCATATCTTTGTGCATACAAATTACTAGAACTGAAATTAGACCAGCAGGAGATCACTGCAGCTAGCTTTGCTTTCTCCTATCATCCATACACAAATTAACATACTCCAATATAATCACACCTAATTATCTAACTACTTGATCATCACCACCATCATAGCACAGGCGGGAACAAGTAGTCCCAATACTCGCCACCAATCTCCTCCAACTCTATCACTCGATTCACAGCTCCTCCGACGTCTGCGCTCATCACACGCCGATCTTGCACCGCTGGTGTCCCGTGACCTCTCCCTGAGTTGGTGAAAGACACCATCTGATCGGAGCTTCTTCCATTTCCATACACCGCCGTGAGATCAGCGTCGACCGTTCTTGCATGGTCGGTGGCGGTACTGCTTCTCCTTCTCCTCTTTCGGCGGCCCGTGGAATGCTCGCCGGCGCCGGCGGCGTCCAGGAGCTGACCGTTGTCGTGCTCCAGGTCGAGACGGCGCTGCACCTTCTCGATCGGGAAGTTGAGGTGCGCGCGGGGCCCGCGCATGCGCAGCGCCGCCACGTCGTAGGCGAGCGCGGCCTCGTCCGCCGTGGCGAACGTGCCTAGCCACACCCGCGCGCCCCGCCGCCGCGTGTCCCTGATCTCCGCCGCGTACTTGCCCCACGGCCGCCGCCGCACGCCCCTGTAGCTCTTGGGAGACGCGGCCTTGGCCTTGCTGCCGGCAGCGCTCTGCTGGCCTTCTCCTCGAGGCGAGGCCGCCGCGAGCGGCGGCTGCTCGGCGACGGGCGGTGTGGCCGCGTCCGCCACGCTGAGCAGCTCGTCCCACTCCTCGGCTCCCATGGAGATACACCTCCCCAGGCTCGGCAACCGCTGCAGGATCTCGGCTCCGGCCTGATCCACGAAAGATGTCGACGACGCGGGCATCGGCGTGCACCCTGTCGGCGTCTCGGTCATGATGGTCGCCCACACGTCCTCCAGGATGTTGCTTGTGTCTCGCGGCGCTCCGATCGCCATGGCTAGCCGAATAACAATCTCTGTGATAACGCTGCGCGGGGTTTATAACTTTATATACGTCGAAATGATCTGCCGAGCAAGCTCGTGGTGTCACGGTTGACACGGCCTGGCAGTTGGCGATTGCCGGCGCTGCAAGTCAGAGCGTGGCCGAAGTGCGAAGGAAGCCATAGCTTAGCTGGGTTGCAATGCAGAACGTACGAGTAGTGTAAACTTAAGCGCATGCAATTCAACCGCCGCGCCGCCGCGCAAGATCTCTGCAGGAATTCAGGGATGTTCGTATTCGTACGTGCGCATGTGCATGGTGCCTTGCGACCGCCGGCTTTCTGCACGGGATATGCTTTCTTTATCCCAGTAGGGACTAGGGTTGACTAATCGCATGGCTAACCACGTAGAGTAGTAATGTGATGCATGGGTCAGCTCACTGCGGCATTTCTGCTCTGCCCACACATTTGTTCTAGTAGTAGCTTATAAAATTAGTACTTATTTTTTGTTATTTTTATTGCCAAGAAAACAAATATCCTGTACTTGTACCTGTTGGTCGTATAGAGTTGCAGACTTTCAGTTTTATGAAAATTGATGCAATTTGGTGTGGTTTAGTCACAACTGAACTATGAAGAGAATTTGACTGACTGCTGATATTTTAGTGTTCTCTGATCAGTCATGTATTGTAGTTACGACTAAACTATTAGCATTCCCATACAACATCCCCATCGATTCTCCAAAACAATAAGCTAAAACATCCTGGACCCTGGACCTTGATTAGTTAAGTACCTGATTCCCTTCATGGCCAAGGAAAGCCTGCTAATGATTGGGTCATCAAGACATCAACACCGTAGAGGTCTGATTTGAATCCAGTTGCATGACTATTCTAGAAGTATCCAGTTTCCTGGCTACTCTAGAAAAAATCCAGTTGCTTCATAGATTTACTTCACAAGCCATGCATGCAACGCAAGTCATGCATCCAACGTAGACCCACTTGCTCCCATCATTGCGTTCACATTGACATATCTCTCAACGTTGGTCCTACTCTTATCTTTGAACGCGCTCGTCCATTAGTTGCTAAAAATCTTAAAGTCAATCCTTGTTTGACAAGTTAAATACCCTTACAAGATCACTCAACCTGAACATTTATTCTTCTTCTTGCGGTTGTTCTACAGGGACACGTACGCATGCATGGATGCAAGTTGAATTGCATTGCTTGATTCTGTGTTAGCTGGATTAATCAAATACCGTCAGATGGATTAATCTCTGCTTCAGTTGGAAGTTAGCTGGATTAATCAAATACCTTTATGCTTGACCATTTGGAGTCGGATTTACTTCACTCAAATTTGAAGCTGGAAACAGTGTACTTTCCCCGCAAGAGTTAAAGGAAAGAGAAAGAAACAGTGTACTAGAAGCTCTGGTTTCAAATGTAAATATCAATATTCCACTGGAGCTTTAATTATGCTTTTTGTGTGAAAGTGATCAAATATACTATAAAAGTTCACTAGATATACAAAGTATCTCGAATATAATAAAAATTACATCGAGATTCCAAGACCACTGAACGGCCACACGCGTCGTTGTCACCACTCTCCTACTAGAGCCGGCTTAAACTGACAGGAAGTCTTCATCGATGAAGAGGAGGCGAATCCACGAGCTCGTCGATGAATCCTGGAGGGGAGAGTTTTCCCTCGTCGCCAAGGATTAGCGGAGCAAACAAGAGAGAAACACTCGTCCAACACTATCTTGAATTTATGTTGTTACTACATTTCCATTTATTTGATTTTTCTTTGCATTTCTTTGAAAATATATATACAAGGTCAAAAGTCCCATTGCACCGTGGGTGTATCATCTAGTGCTTTCAAAAGAACGAGATCCAACATGGTGATAACAAAGCCTAAACAAAACTATGCAAAATCATTGTAACATATATATCATAGTTTTAAATAGCCGGCTATCCCCGCTATAGCCTCACTATAGCTTTTTGAACAGGGTGCCGCTAAATGGTACTCATGTACAATAGTATCCTAATAGCCCGCTATAGCTCTGCTTAGCTGATCTGAAGGACCGTCACTATTTGGCATAGCCCACTATTTAAAAGATTGATATATATATATATATATATATATATATATATATATATATATATATATACTGTTAAGTAATATTATAGATATCTGATTGAGAATGGGGTCAAATACCCACATAACTTTGTGTGAAAAATTAAGATGCCTCCCAGAAGTGTTACTCTGGTTGGTGCTTCGAAATACCACTGTGACTGCGTGCTTAGAAGGGGATGGGCTGGAGATAAAAACTTCCCTTTTGTGGGCGAGATGAGAGTATCGACCATTTGTCTTTTGGGTGCTCTATTGCTAAAATGCTTTGGAACATAATGAAATGTGATTTTGATTTGCATAATATACCTGAAAATGGGCATGATATGTTTAATGTGTGACTGGAGAACTTTAATAAAAAAGAAAGAAACATGGCAGTTCTATCCCTGCTAGTTTTTGGACAATTTGGAAGTTGATAAATGGTGCTATTTTTCATAACAACAAGGTTGTTGGTCCTTGTGTTCCTGTTAATCTGATTGTTAAAATGCTTCACCATTCGCTTATCTTGCAAATAAATCCAGGAAGACGAGAAGTAATGAGGTGGGGCGTAAAAAGGGTGATCGCGGGTGAAGTTTTTAGGGCTACGCTTGGACGGAGGACATCACGTGGGATCACTGTAGGATGACCAACTTCCCCCACCCAGGCCGAGCTCATTTCGACTTTATTCATTGGTTGTTTGATCTCTCTCACCCGCACCCCTGGTGGCGACTTTTGTAAAACATAGTATCATAACCTAGATATATTTGGTGATCATAACATCATCCTGGAGATCCGACATGTGGGCTTCCCAGGATGATGATGCTCTGAACCATTTTATGTTCCCTGGGTTATCGGCGTTTATGCTGATATAGCCCCCGCCCATGGTCTAGATGGTCCGTGGGGGATGGCCCAAACTGTTTCTATCCTAGCTACGCATCATCGTTCCCTTGTTAGATGTTTTATTTTGCTTAGTAGCTAGTAGTTGTAAGAAGACAAAATGTAGTTTCTTTAATGGAAATTAGAGACTGATGTATGCTAGAACTACGTCGGTATTTCCCCAAAGAGGAAGGATGATGCAGTATAGCGACGGTAGGTATTTCCCTCAGTGATGAGACCAAGGTTATCGAACCAGTAGGAGAACCTCCTCACACAACATAAACAACACATGCACACAAATAACAAATACTCGCAACCCGACGTGTTAAAGGGTTGTCAATCCCTTTCGGGTACGACGCCTCAAGATAGGCAAATAGCGTGAGGTAAAAATGGTAGATAGGATAAATAGATCGCGAACAAATAAATTGCAGCAAGGTATTTTTGTATTTTTTGTTTAATAGATCTGAAAATAAATGCAAAGGGAAATAGATCACAAAGGCAAATATGATGAAAAAAAGACCTAGGGGGTGTAGGTTTCACTACTGGCTTCTCTCGAGAAAAAAATAGCAAACGGTGAAAAAACAATTATTGTTGGGAAATTGATAGAACTTCAAATAATCATGACGATATCCAGCCAATGATCATTATATAGGCATCACGTCCAAGATTAGTAGACCGACTCCTGTCTGCATCTACTACTATTACTCCACACTTCAACCGCTATCCAGCATGCATCTAGTGTATTAAGTTCATGGAAAAATGGAGTAATGCAATAAGAAAGATGACATGATGTATACAAGATCTATCTATGTAGAGATAGACCCCCATCGTTTTATCCTTAGTAGCAACGATACATACGTGTCATTTCCCCTTCTGTCACTGGGATCAAGCACCGTAAGATCGAACCCCCTACAAATCACCTCTTCCCATTGCAAGATAAATAGATCAAGTTGGCCAAACAAAACCCAAATATCGGAGAAGAAATACGAGGCTATAAGCAATCATGCATATAAGAGATCAAAGAAGACTCAAATAACTTTCATGGATAAAAACAAAGATCTGATCTTAAACTCAAAGTTCATCGGATCCCAACAAACACACCGCAAAAAAGCTTACATCATATGGATCTCCAAGAGACCATTGTATTGATAATCAAGAGAGAGAGAGAGAGAGAGAGAGAGAGAGAGAGAGAGAGAGATGAACCATCTAGATACTAACTACGGAACCATGGGTCTACAAAGAACTACTCACGCATCATCGGAGAGGCACCAATGGAAGTGGTGAACCCCTCCATGATGGTGTCTAGATTGGATCTAGTGGTTCTGGACTCTGCGGTGGCTGGAATTGATTTTCGTCGACTCCCCTAGGGTTTCTGGAATATTAGGGTATTTATAGAGCAACGAGGCGGTTCATGGGGCACCCGAGGTGGGCACAACCCACCAGGGCGCGCCCTGGTGGGTGCTGCCCTCCTCGAGGCATCCCCTAGGTGCAGCCTTGGCCCACTCGATGTCTTCTAGCCCAAAAAAATCCTCAAAAAGTTTCGTTGTGTTTGGACTCCGTTTGATATTGATTTCATGCGATGTAAAATGCATGCAGAAATCGGCAACTGGCACTGGGTACTATGTCAATAGGTTAGTACCAAAAAATGATATAAAATGATTAAAAAATTATTATAAAACATCCAAAAATGATAATATAACGACATGGAACAATAAAAAATTATAGATACGTCGGAGACGTATCACGGAGCTCTATTTTTCAAAAAAAAGAACATATATACCCCTAATCTATTGCATGGGACTAGGTACAAGTTGACTGAAAAAACATATTGGATCAACCGATTTTTCAAGAATCAATCTGAAGCTTATGATAAAAATGAACGGGCTAAATTATGTCTTCTTCCTCTAACTGTTTTCTTCTTGAAAAACAGGTCGCGTTCTTCTTCCTCCCGCCACCTACTTATTGGAAATATGCCCTAAAGGCAATAATAAAATGGTTATTATTTTATTTCCTTGTTCATTATAATTGTCTATTATTCATGCTATAATT